GGGGCGGCCATTCTGCGGAGATGATAATTACTTTTCAAGTCACATGTTGCGCACAGTGTACCGTTCGAGCGGGCTGGGCTCGTACGTGGCAAAGACCGCGGAGTGCCCACAAGTAACGTATTGTCCATAAGCCGGCGAAGAATGCGCGCTGTAAACGAAAGTGCAGCGAGCGCATGCAAACGCCTCAAGATTATGAATAAAGTTGTTTGGAATGCGAAAGAAAATGGCGGGCCCCGCGTAGGGTGTTTAGTATGCAATGTCGAAATGTCTCTCTCCCCTTTACGATCAACAAACCTTGCTGTGCACAGCGCGCGATTCAAGACTCAAGACGCACGCAAAAATTAGTCTCGACAGGCACTGCAAGATTGAAATTTCGGGTGGCATCTCGGTACTGGGACCGCGGCGTCAGACAAGCGAAAACGAGAAAAAAGAATTAATTAAACGAGAAGCGTCCGGAAACGCATCATCATGCGCGTTTGTCCGTCACTGTCCGTGTCACTGTGTCACGGCGTCGGCCGCGCGAACACACAGCGCCGTGACGCAAGGCATTTGTAGCCGTGCCGATCTCGTCCGTCAGGACCGTCAGGAGTAAACGTCCATCGCCACAGATTCCGAGCGGTATAACAGCACCAGCTGCACACACCCTGGACAGACAGACAGACAGACAGACAGACAGACAGACAGACAGACAGACAGACAGACAGACAGACAGACAGACACAGGAGGGCACTGTATGTGTTTGGACGGCGTCCGAGGCGACGGTCTATGCAGAAGTTCCTCCATTGGTTTAACGGTGCGGCCTGTCACGCCACTGGTTTAGCACACACGGCATGCACGGACTCCTGATTGGGCTGTATCACAGCATCAAGGCGCGAGCAAGCAGTGACGATGAGACAGTCGCGCAAAAACCGTCGTTAGTTGATATGAAGTGGTGAAGAAGAAGAAGAAGAAGAAGAAGAAGAAGAAGAAGAAGAAGAAGAAGAAGAAGAAGAAGAAGAAGAAGAATGTAAAACTAAAACCGCCCGCACGGCCTACATGTGAGAGAGGTCCGGAGTCGGGCCGAGGGTATTTTATTGACTGTCCGCTCTGGACTCGCGAGCACCTAGGCGCCCCAACACACGCACGCACACACACACACACACGCGCAGAGACACACCTCTTGACAGAGAGCGTGTTCATATGCCCTAGAGCGAGGCGTCAAACAACAAGCGTCCACCACTCTCCGCTCCACTAAAGAAGCAGAGAGGCCCACGGGACGGACGGACGGACGTGGCGGGCAGGCAGACAGACGGGACGACGCACGGCACACCAACGAGCGAAAACGGAACGCAAAAAGTATATGGGAAAACTAGCGGGCCCAAATGAGGACTATCGCCAATCTGTAAATTAGCAATAATTCGCGGCCGTTCAATGGACGTGGGAGACAGCAGCAAAAACGGCTCACGATTTTCGTGGCAAATCGGGCCGCCCTTGACTGCCTCGATCCGCGGCTAGATCGGGGCGGCCGAACGCGACCCGAAAGATAAAGGAGTGGAGCACAAAAAGACGCGACGCGGTGGTGGGGGAAGAAAAACTACAGGAGCCCCTTACGGAGAGAGAAAAAAACCGAGCGCCATGATTACATTGAGAGTGAGAATCTGTGCCGGGAGATGCACGACTTGTTTTGCGTAGCGAACCGGCGGCGTCTCTCCCATTCATTGGCCCGGCCAGTCGGCCACGGACGACGGAAGGGCGCCTGGATTCGGAGCAGCGCCAAAAACTTGTTGAGAAACGCGGTGGGGGTGCTGCCTGCAAATTTTCATGCGCGTCTTGCAACAGCAGTCATCGCCATGGTGAGACGATTACAACTGGGGAGTGGTTTTGGTCGGCATGCTGCCGCAGCGGCGGCGCTTTGACGAGACGGCGCGGATCGAAGGTGGAGCGGCAGGAAGTTGCAGCAGGCACCGCCACGCTCCGGACAATCCCATTGCAGTGCACTGCCGCGGCCGTGACACCCGCGAGGCAGTCACTACGAGCGCCGAAAAACAAAACTAGCTTGTGTCCTTGTTTCGTAAGCAAGGGGCACACTCTGGCCAGTAGGGAGCAGTGGCAACGTTGGCAGTATATTGGACTGCAGGCGTCGTGGTTATGGAGCCGTGGTTACTTACACGGCACAGTGAGCCAGCAGACCGGTGGAGGCGGTCAAAATCCCGGACGCGTCTCGAGCTCCAGAGTCGCTAAATGGTACTCGAACGGGCCGTGTGACCCCACCAATGGATTCCTCTCCGAACGAGGAATCCATTGGTGGGGTCACACGCTCACTTCAAGTCATGTTAAGCGACTCTGGAGCTCAAAACGCGTTCGGGATTTTGACCGCCTGCACCGGTCTTCCGGCCGGGCCACTGTGGCCGCGCTTAGTTACGCGATGTAAGTGGGCTGATTGCCGGCCTGAGGGCCAAGCGCGGCGAAGGGACTGTCGGGCGGGGCGCAGATTGTTTTGGAAGTCCCGGGCGATCCTGGCCGTGTCCCCGGGGAACTCGTGGCCGGACAGGGCGTGGCGCGGCGCGGCGTGGCGTGGCTCGGCGTGGCGGCCCGCAACGCCAAGGGCCATCACGACGGCGTAGGCAACCCGACGAGCGCGCCGACCCATTCCCATCGTTTCCTAATTAACACGTTTAAAAGAAGACCATTATTCGAGACGAGGCTGAGGCCGCGCGCTCTAGGCAGTGTGCCGCTTAGTTAGCGACCCTCCGGCCCGTGGCTGAGCTCATGCGAAGAATCGCGATTGCAGAGATAGAGGCCCACAAACCAAAAGCACTCCTAGAGTCGAATTTCTAGCATTTGTCACGCTACATTCTGTTTTTTTCCTTGAGGCTGACAATGCAAATCTCGTTTTCCAGCACGCACGCACACAGACACACACAGGCATAGAGGACTTCTCAGAAAGCGCTCTCTTTCGGCCCGCACCCTTTTTTTCGCCATTCCGCGCTCCTTCCGTGTGGGCCTGAGGTGACTCATTACTCGAGTTATTCGGAGCGGTCCGTCCGTCCGTCCGTCTGTCTGTCTGCCCGTCCGAGCTACGCCCGGCTGTGCCCGAGCGTGACAGAGAAGGCGTCAGTAAATCTGCAGTCCGGCTCGCCCCCTTCCGTGCTCCGGGCCCAGCCGATCCGGGTCCGATCCCGAAGGAGCGCCGCCGTAAAATAATCTGGATCGACGCGTGCTGGCGCTGGCCGGCCGGAAGTCCAGTCCAGGGCGCCTGCTGTCTTTATCACTCCGACCTTCTCTTCTCGATTGTATTGGAGTATCTCTTTTAGATTCGGGTCCGGCCCGCATATTAGCATAAGAACTGTGTGTGAAATTTTTTGTCAGTTCTTTTATGGCATGAGTAATCATAAGGTGTGGCCAAAATAAATTATCTTCAAATAATAATTCGTAAGTTTTGACAACTCCACAGAGTTTCAAGAAGGCAGAGCTTGGCCGTAGTCGGTCGGCCCGGGCGGCGTTGCAGCGTTGCGGCCTTTCACTCAAGGAGGACATTCAACAATCACTTTCTTTCTCACACGTCCCGCAGCAGCCGCACTGCCGCCGTGGCACTGCTCACTGCCGCGGCGCTTCCTCTGTGAGTTATATGTAGCCCAGTCGTGCGTCAGGGAGGCATCATGGCGAGGATCCTTTCTTCGCCAGGTCGTTCTAGATTTTTTTTCGTTTTTTGTTTTTGTTTCCAAGGCACTTATGGCCGCTGCCGCATTCCCAGTGCGTTTACGATGAGATAGCGGCGCCCAGTAGTCGCCAGCCGACAAGTCGGCGAAAAGGCGGACTTCCTCCAGACGCTGCGAGCCAGAAGACCGCAGTGGAAGCGGTCAAAATCCCGGAGGGGTTTTGAGCTGTAGAGTCGCTGAATTGGACTCGAACCGAACGTGTGAGCCCACCTATGGATTTCTCTCCGAACGAGGAATCCATTAGTGGGGTCACATGTTCGGTTCAAGACTTATCTAGCGACTCTGGAGCTCAAAACGCGTCTAGAGTTTTGACCGGCTGCGCCGGTCTGCTCGCCCACTGTGCGTTGCCATGGCAACCATCGACTAATTGCAGAGTGCGTGCATCGCACTACCGCACTTGATCGACTGTCACCCGCAGCCACCCCTCCTCCGGCACGCCAACATCGTCCTGCTGCCCCTCCCTCGCTTCCGCAGACGCGCCCTTGCGGGCCCGGCGGGCCTTGCGGCCGCCGACGCGAGGTACGCGAGGTACGCCCTCCTCCAGCCGCGCTCGAACCGTCGCGGCCGAGGGCATGCGTGGCGAGGCAGGGGATGACCCAATTTAACCCCCAAATTTAAAGCAAGAATTTGTGGCCGGCCGGCCTTTTCAAAGTGGGGTCGCCGTTGCACACGTCGCACGCTGCCGCCAGGCCAAGTTCAGCGCACTCGCGCTTCCCCTGTCTGTCTGTCTGCCCGTCCGTCAGTCCGCCGCGGCGTGCAATAAAGCCCCATGCAAATTGATCCTAATAATTTCCATCCGCGGCCGCGCCGTGCTGCCCGGGGCTATTGACGTTACCGACCGCCGCGCTGCAGCGCGCTGCCGCCGTGCTGCCGACTTGCGACACCGGCCGGGGTCGCGGGGAGCCACGCCTGGGCTACGCCCGCCGCCATCGGCCAGCCAGCTAGCCGGCCACGTGATCCCGATTCAAGCACGACGCGAACGTGACAGGCTCGGCCCAGCTTTGCTGACCGGCAGGCGAGAACAACAGTCGCGCAAGGGACAGCAATGGAGACGACTTCTGGGAGAGGGTGTACTCTGATCCAAAAGTTACTCTGAAGGGGCTAAACTTTGGGCCAGAAGACAGGTGGAGGCGGCCAAAACTCTGCACGCGTTTTGTGATCCAAGGTTGCTGACCAGGGCTCGAACGGAACGTGTCACCTCGTCATCTCCCCAATGGATTTCTCGTTCGGAGAGCAATCCATTGGTGGGGTCACCGGTCTTCCGGCCCACTGTTCGACGGGTGGATTCGGCCCCATGCTTACCTTGTGCTCGTGCGACGGCGGCATGTCTGGCGGGGGCCGGCTCGGCGTCTGCTTCGGGCGACGGTGAGGGGGCGGGGGAGGGCTCGGACAGCGCGGGGCCAGGCAGGCCGAAGGCGAAGCAACACGCCAGCACCAGCCAGCCGCGTCCCACGCCCCGCCGCAGCCGCATGGCCAGTCACACCATCCCTGCAAACAGAGAAAATCGGATTAGCTCGGGTAGCCGAGGGGCATGCGCACCAACGCAACGACTCGGAGGTCGGTGGTTCAAACACCGGAAAACAAAATTATTTTTTCCGCGTTGAGCCCTAAGCTCATCACTTCGTAGGGCCGCTCATGCAACCCGATTGCAGCAGCAAGGTCTTAATCAACTCGTTCCACGGCTAAACCATCCCCGGCCGACTCCATCGGGCTCGCGACGGGGGGCGCGCAGGCCGCCGTGAAGGATCGTTGTTGGCGAATCTGGGGCCCGCATCTCCGAGGAGCCCCAAAAACGGCGCGAGGCCGCCAGATAGATGGCTTATCGGCGGCGGCAGGGCCCTGCAGGGAGCCCTAGGAATCCGAGCCATGATGTCAGCACCACGACGACTGGGTCAGCAGGGCCAGGCGGAGCCAAGCAGGGCCGTACCTCCGTGCTCTATCCTCGCATCCAGGTGGACAAGAATCGGATGCAAATGCAACGGCAGTAAGCTAGGCACAGTAATTGACAGACAGGCAGGAAAGAAGCCACACAGAAACATGCTGCACACGGTTAATCTGTTGGTTGCAGCCTCTCTCAATTAGCCAGCGCCGCTAAGAGCCGTGAGCGCGAGCCACGCTGATAAAGGAAAACGTCGCGTCCGGACGCACAGACGCAGGTAACTGAACAGACCCTAGCACACACTTACGGGGGGCTTCCCTGGTCGTTGAATCGCGCGCCATGCAAATGGGAGAGCCCCATTCAGGCAGTGGGGCCGCACTGCCTGCTGGAATGTTAATCGGACGGGACGCTGGACTTGACTTTCAAAACAAGGAGGAATAGCTGCTAAACAATCAGCAGTATGAAAAGTTGAGAGGAGCGGGCTGTGCCACCAGAGACTGGCAGAGAGACGCACGAGATCGCACTGTCCTCGTTGCTCTTCTTCTCCTGCTTGGCGTGTGCCGTGGCCACTGCCCCGTGCCGTTGCCGCTACGGTCGCGTGCCGAGCCGAGCCGAGCGCGGCCGAGACAGCGTGGGGCGAGCCGAGCCGAGGCCGGGTCGTCTGCCGGTGTGCCTCCATTGTTCTAGAGACACCCCGGCCTTGGGCAAGTCAGTCGGCCGGTGACACGGGGTCCGTGGGGTTCAGCAAAACGATAAATATCTCAAACACGCCGTTAAATGCTGAGCGACAATAACGTCCCATAAGGCCAGTGCAGGCGCCCTGTCCGACGTCAGGTGCTCCAGGAGGTCGTGGGAAAGCTCCCGTCGTCGAGTCAGCGAAAGTGCAAAGAAAGGCTCAAATAATTTCTATTTGTATTCGCTGGCGACCACCGCCGCCCTTGAGCACCATTCGGTCGTTGTTTTCAAAACAAACCACTACAGTCCTGTGTGCTACTGTCTGTACCGTTTAGGGCACGCTCGGGTGCGTTCGCGGAGGGGCCACCAGCCAGACAGCCAGGCAGGCAGCCAGGCACGGCCTGGAGCGTCAAGGGCAGGTGGTTCTGGTGTGCTGGTCTTTGCAGTGCGAGCGCTGGGTCCTCTTCCTCTCCGGATCCCCTCCTTTTGTCTCGGCCGCGATAAGGAAACAAGAAGGACGCGCATTTCCAGGTCGTGAAATACGGGAAGCCACACCGTTGCAGCGCATTCTCAGCAGAAATTAACGACATTTCTCCCGCTTTTGCGAAAACGGACGGAAAACCCCTCCATTCATAGTCGATGTTTTTTCGTGCTTCTCCCGAGAGCTCATCTTTTTCACTTCCCAGGCCATCGCTGTGCTCCGAGGATTTACGACGACGAGATGGAAGAAATGCTCTTGACCGCCTCCAAATGACTCTTCTTCGTGACCCGTCCTTGGAGCCGTGCCCTTCGACCTGTTGCATCGCCGGGCCCTTTGGGGACGCATGCCGCTCACCCGTCTCGCTCGGACCCTCGAGAGTACGAGAAAGACAGAGCGACCGGCGACCGCAGTCACGGCGGCAGCAGGTCATCCGTGGATCGAGTGATGGTTCGGCCGGTCACTGGTCAATGGTCTGGCGGACGCACGGTAACACGATTGCGCCAACACACGTCAGAGGACACGGGGCCAGGGCTCGTCTTGCTCTCCAGGAAATAATGGCGGTCAGGATTGCTCATCATTGCAACAAGGTATGGTCTGGCTGAAAAAACCGCTGTTCAATCTGATGACAAACCAATAAACTTACCGCAGACGCATCCGCCAAAAAATTCCTGTATAATCGTAGTCGAAAATCACGACAAAAATTTCACTATGCCAGGTTTGCTCATTCGTTGAGTGCTTAAATGATACTTGATTCAAGAACTAGCTCCCCTCGAGTCCAGGGTGTGGTGATACACGACCATCAGACTCCTGCTCGAGGACAAGGCCCTCGAAAACGAGCCACGATGCGGGCCGTGCTGGCCTAGCCGCCTCGGTACGGCTTTGCGACACGCCCGCCGCACGTACTGCTTGATATGAGGAGCGGATAGTCGAATAGACTGACCTCGCCGTCCAGCGGCCCACTGACCCCGGCCAAGCAGTCATTTAAAAGATAAATAATCTAACGGCGTTCCAGCGAAAATCGAGTGCGCTGCCACTTTTAGTAGCGTGCGCTCGGTGCTGCCGCCGCTGCTGTCCGGATTAGAATCTAGTTTGGACACACAGGGCGGGTGTTTTGTGGCAGGCAGCGCCGGGCAGCGGCGTCGTGCAAAACCCACATTGCGCGGTTCACCTTCAATATTTTCACATGGTCATTGTTGGTGCATTGGCTGATGGTTCAGCAATGTTTCAGCCGGTTTGGATACCGACAGGCGAGGATACAAGAATGCAGTACTTTTAGTAAAGGATTCTTTCCTTCACAGGTTTCTATTCTTAGAGCAGGGCAGGCTTGGAGTCCACACGGCACGAATTAAATCGCACTGCGGCAGATCGGCCAACACCTCCACTAGCAGAAACGGCACCAGCACCATTACCACCACCACCAACTCCGCCACAGCCAAGACCACCACCTCCACCAACGCAACAATCGGCGAGCTGTAATTGGAGGCAATAGCCGTTCAGATATGTTTACTCGGCGATCCACTTGGAGGCATTTGCAGTTGAATTCCCTGCGGGTGTTGTGTGGTCTGGGTGTCCAGCAATTCAGCGCTCTTGTCCATTGTTGCCCCGCGCCCTGCTATTTCCGCATTGTTAGAGGCTGCGCAAGGATAAAAAAGAACAAGAAAAGAGGTTAACTTTTATTGTTGTTGTTGATGACGCCGTTCGGGCGCCTCCTGGGCAAGAAGACCATGCAGGCCGAAACTGCCCCCACAATCAGCAGCAGCAGCAACAACAACAATCCAAATAGAACCGCGGCGGTCATGCATGACAGTGGGACAGAAGCAACAATAACAAAAGTCCGGTCCATCGGCTTCGCGCGACACCGTTATAAACCTTCCCTTTATTTCTGCTCTGCCCTATTATTATCCTGTTAACGCTCACAAAGGTGGCGCGGTTTTTGTGGGACGCGGAGGTCCGACGCAGGAACGCATGCACGAGCCAGGCGCCTCGTTCTGGAGCTCGACAAGGAGTCCCTTGGTAGAAGCGTCGGTGAAGACTCTCTGCATCAATTTTATAAAAACTTCGTGTCGTATTTTCACACTTTCATACGCCACTGGGTTTGTTTGTACATCACAGCTGTAAGACGAAGAATTTATCTACGTTTCCCAAGCTCCGAAACACGGCAACATTTGTTTTTGTCTCAGCTATCCTTAATTACTTAATCTTCCTCCGAACGTCTTCCATCTGCGCAATACAAAAGTAATCCGAAAAAAAAGCAGCAGGTGCGTAATGTTTGCTGTCGCAGCTTTGCGTGGCGTTTCAGAATCTCTTTTTTTTTTCCTTCTCTCTGCCTGCTGGAACGGCACTGGTTTGAGTTCATAAAATGGTTAGGCGCCGGCGGGAGGAAATAAAACTCGTTGCGCGTTGCGTCACCGAGCCGTCGCCATCGCCGTCGCCGTGCGTAACGAGAGCACCCGGTTTAAGACCAACCCCGATCGGCTCTTTGTCTCGACGCGTTAATTAACGATGCAACGCGAGGCTGTGGACAAGCTCCCTGTCGTCGGTGTGAGTAAGTAGTGTGCGAGAGCGTGCGCGTGTGTTAGGGCGACGGCATTCCCTGCGGGTGCGAATGCAGGGCTCGTCTTGACAGGCTCAAGTTGAGTAAGAGGAACTGCAGGGGCAATTAAGCGGGTGGTTTTTGATTCAGCGTCATTTGGGTCAAATACGACAGGGGCAGTCATCCAATTGCAAAAAGCACAGCAAACCAGCGAAAGGTTAAAGTTGACATGGTGAGGCAAAATGGTCGAACAGGGTAGCAGCCGAGCCAAAGGCCGACGAATCCAAGTCACTTTAGTCCGCGATACTCGCATGCCAGAATGACTCGGGTCACGACGGTGTTTGGGTGCGGGTCGTGCCGTAAGGCTTAGCAGTGACACGTCACCGAGCGAGAAAGATATTGAGAGAGGGAGAGAGAGAGAGGGAAGGACTCCATTCGCCGGAGACTTGAACGCCAGCGATGGGCTGGGCGATAGAGCGGCGCGCGCCACGCGGCACGACACAGCGCAAACAACCGCACTACATTATCTTTGTCAGCGCCTTCGTCCAACATATAGTAATTCAAAGTTACGGGCGAAATTGGAATTTATTGAGTGTGGAACTAACGTTAAGATGATAATGGGCGAGAATCCGAAACTAGGATATGTCTTTAATTCCTTCATCTTGTGTCAAACTTTTGTTGTTGGTGGGTCCCTTGTTGAACATTGAACCAACCAAAACAGACGGAACACCTAATAAAGTCTCCTAAACGTCCGAGTTTTCGCTTTCCATGCCATTTAAATAAATGCTTAAAAGAGACTTTTAGCGCTCGGGTTGCGGCGGCAGCGGTTTGCCAGTGGTAAGAGTGACAGTCAAAAGCAGAGCAGGGCAGCGCGGGGCAGCGCGGCGTGGAGACGGCGGCAATCTCGGCGCGTCACGACC